GTTGTGGCAAACAGTAAACACCTCAATTTTCCGCTGTTCCTTCCCAAATAAATTTGCACTTGATTCACATGTTACAAAATATAATGGAAGACTTCCATTTTCATCAATATCACTTGTCGCTTTTCGGTGTTATCAAACTTATAATTATAATGAAACGAAATAATGAAAGTACTGATTTGGATCATTTGTGCTTGAGTGATTCAACAGCTGCCTGTCGTGTCAGCCCAGCACATTGGTTTGTGAAAACAGTTTTCTCATGTTAAAAATATCCCAAACCCTCTTTGATAGTGTTTAAATAGCCTGTAAGAGCAATTATCTAATTTCTTGTATAACCGAAATAGAGGATTTATTTTGAGACCAGTCATGAAACAAATTTGTTCCATGACTGATAGAAACTCATCAGTTTCTGTGGTTTCTGTGGTTGAAGATCTCGCTCGTGATTGTTTATAACACAATAAACATTCCAGACATATTTTAAGTGTTCACAGTTTTGTGAGTTTGACTGTAAGGCTCTCCAATAACTGCATAGGTACCTTGCACTTCAGTTGTACAATCTTATAGCAGTTATTGGCCTTTTTAGGGACTAAACATTAATTGTGCATTGGCCAAAATACAAATGGTCCAAAAATGAAGAAGAGTCTAGAAAGTAAATTTAACAAAGCCTGCAATGATTACATAATGATCGAGGGTTGTTATTGTTTTATTCAAGCAACACATACTTAGTATAAGCTTTTGCTGACAAGGATAGTACAAATCTGGAATGATATTCCCACAACTCCAATACCTTTGTACTATCTAGTGAAACCACAACCTGCATGCCTCTTGTAAGATTTGTGTGTCAAACAGAACCAATAAATTGTAACCGGTTTAGCATTCTGCAAACAGAATATAAGTAGAAATAAATAAATAAACAAATTAATTATTCGAAATCATTCTATTAAATTACTGTAACTAACATAACAGCCACCTAATTTGTTATAAACTACAGGTAGATTCTAACCTGGGACCTACAGAAATTTGATTACCTATGATATTTTGAACTACACAACATTTAGGTATAATATTGGAGTAGACTCTTTTTCCTTTATGTTCTAAAGATACTAATTTTTGAACTCAATCATTTACTCTGAACTGATGGTACTGCTTACAAAATTCCAACAGTTTAGCTGTTCTTTATATTTTAATGATTCTGTGGTTATTTTATGAAAGGGCCATGGGAATGACTGTATGATCGAATATTCTTTGATGACNAAACTAAGATGTTCAGATTTCACTTCCACTTTGCTGGCAATCAAATTGAAACTCATCAGTCTGAAACGCAGACTGCGGACTACAGACCGGGTTAAAATGCAGACTGAGAGTGAAATGCAGACTGCAGACTACAGACTTCATAAGTATATATAGTTTTATAATAATAGTATCAGGCACTGATCTTAAACATGATTATTCAGGCTTAAATGGTAGTGAAAGACTGCACTACGGTCAGCCTGAATCGCGCTCCTGTTAGACTGAATACCACTCCAGTTAGCCTACATATCACTCAGGTTAGCCTAAATAATGCTCCAGTTAGCCTGTTTGCGGTTAGGTCTCAATGGCGGAAATGATAACATCATTCAGTCAAAAAGTCTATACTCTGCAGTCTGCGTTTTACTTCCTGGTCCTCAGTCTGTGTTTTATATTGACTGAATCAAAAATCTAGTGTAAAATAAGCTTTCTTACACTGTAAAACTGTAATCAATGCTAAAGCCTACTGCTATCAGCAAAGAATCAAAGTGGCTGTGAGCCACTGAACTTGGAAAATATATTATGAAAGGGTGTTATGAGGCATTGTTCATTAAGGAATTACCGTCTAGCTTTTGAACAAGTCCATAAAGCCTTTTTCCATTCAAGGGTGTTTTGAGATATTTGCAAAATGAAAAAGTTCAACATAAAAAACTGTTTGTTACTAAGGCCTGCCTAAATGTTTTACATTACATGTATCTGTATATGTCCTCCTTGATTGTGCTGTAGTCAAAAATGGCAAGAGATAATTTTGTTCCGTCAAAAGTGAAGTATAGACTGAATGAAACGCTCGAATAAATAACTAACACTTTCGCTCTCCAGAAATTGATGTACAAGTAGCGCAGTGTGATAAGCACTGGCTTGCCATGTGAGACATTGGAAGTTAAAATCAAAGTGGTCACTACTGATTGTTATATTCCTTTTCTTCTTCATTGCTGTTTCTTTTTCTGTCAAGAAACCATTTACCGAAAGGTAGTGTTTGTCTTTCTGTTTCTTGGGTTAAAAAAAAAGAATCATCTGGAGCCTTT